CAAAGTGCGACGCAACATACGTTTTTAAATACCGTATTTGTTTTTAGCATAGGCCTACTATACATGTATTTGTCACACAAGCGTTTTTAAAATTTCTTTGTTTTATTACATAAAAATTGTCCTTTTCTAACATAAATGAATTCAAACTCAAATCGCGTCACATTTATTTAAGAAGAGCTAAAGCACTTTGAGACTTAATTGTAATTCGCGCTATATAAAAACTGAATGTTATTCTATAGGCCTAAATATTTATTAAACTTTATGGCACACCAATGGTATACCGTACAGGTTTTAATGCAATGATTAGATTAAGTGCAATGTTTACAACAGAAACACAGACAATGTGACAAGCCACTACTGTTGGCACAATATCATTGTATTACTTGAAAGATGCAATTGTTAAAATGCAGATACAATTTACATCTAAATACATCAAAATGCTGTATGTCAAAATTATTTGCTACTATTCTAATACTTATGATTTCAAATTGATTTCGACTGCAACTGAAATTTAGATAATGTTGATTAGGAATGAACTAGGTTTATTTAAATTCTAAATGTAGTATATATCAGTTTAAACAGTACATCATTTTATTCAAACAAAATTAATAAACTGAAATGTAATGCCAAATTAAAAATACAAACCTGCAACAGATTCAAAGGCAAACATTAAACAAAATGAGTTAACTAAATGTATACAAAAGGGTACTGCATATAATCCTAAAAAGAATCTTATATTAAAATAAATACAATCAATACCACTTGTTGGGTGTTGTGATAGAAGCACATCTTTTTAAAATACTTATTTGGATTTCAATTAATTAAATTGAGAATTCTATCTTCTTCCCAAGATTTCATTACACAGTACCAACATTTAAAAAAAATCATAATTCTAACCACTGCTGTGTAAAATAGGTTTATAATTAATTCATCTACAGCAAACTGTTTCCTGAAACATACACAAGTTACTTCTTCCAATATAATTATCAATGAATTGATTGAAAACAAATTCTGAATGTCCTTATTGATTATTACAGTCAGAACACAAATTTCATTTCATTCTTTTTCTTCTTAAAGTGTTCCGTCTATCGACATTACGCTTTCCACAATTTGTTTCCATTTGTTTCTGTTCAAGGCAGGATGATTTGTTATAGTGTTATTTCATTTCATTATAACATAACATATAACATAGTATATAACATATTCTTCATATTTTAATGCCAAATTTCAAATGTTTTTGATAATACCACCTGATAAACTACAACTCAACAAACAGGCAGGTGCAGGTCGACATGGAACCTACAGTACCTGATACAACATTATCATGAGGAAAATTGCACTACAGGGTTGTTAGGCCACTTGGTATAAAAGATAAAAGATGCAGGTTCTAAGGATAGGATATAGGATTCTAAGATGGATAAAAAAAGACAACTGACAATTAATTTTACTTAAAAATACAACAATGCTTAAATATAAATATACATTTAATACATTAAGAATAGGATATTCGATTCCAAGATGGATCTAAAAAGACACTGTAAATTAATTTTACGTAAAAAATATACAGTTATATAGTTATATTATAATATAAATATACAGTTATACAAATTATATACAGTACACCCTTACATACATACATACATACATACATACATAGACTTAGGTACCATCGCATTACAAATAGTTTTGGACCGGGAAGCCTCATCTTTCTGTTCTCGTTCAAACCGACGAGCCTCTGTAATTAAGTTTTTGTAGCTTGTAAAGGTCGGACGCATGGCCGAGATTCTGCTTTTAAGGTTTGAATCATGGACTCCTCTAATAAACTGTTGTATCAGGGTCCGGTCCCTGTCCCTAATAGTCCGATGCAGTCGCTCTTCAGCCCGACGAAGTACGTCCTCCAATTCAATGGCAAATATAGAACCAGCCTCAGATGGCTTTTGTACCCGTGAGTAAAATAAACTGAGGGGGTCTTCTATACACTCCTCACCAAATTGTTCAAGGAGTTCACCAAATGCGATGGCTGGGTGTTGATGTTCTGTTGGGATATTCAATACCAACTTTCTTGCGGCTCCCCCTAAGTTGCGAACAATCGTTGAAAATTGTAAATGTGGGGGCATCGTGCTAGCATCGAGTATATATCCTGGTCACGGCACCAAATGTAACCCGGTTTCCCGGTTCGATAGTACAAATGAAAATAATAATGAGAAACAATAGACAAATATATACAACTATAAGCAAGCCAGCGTCTTTATTGCGTTGTGTTCAACGTCAAATCAAGAACCTAACTGCTCAATTCCTAAAATAATCCCAAAGTGTATTAAACTTGGACTTCCCATTAAAAGTGGCAGTGACCCACCTTGTGAGTAAATTCACTGGAACAGGGAGGGTATGATAAGGTGAGGGTCACATTCCAGGGATGGCCAGGAAGAGAGGTTGGTAGGAACTAACATAAATTACACTATAGGGAGGTCTTTGTGCATCTGTCAAACAGGTTGTCACTAATGTTAATGATGGACATACATTATAATACAATGGTCAACTGTTGGACTTTATCATGGATAGTTATGGTATGCTAAACTACTATATATATATATATATATATATATATATATATATATAATTATGTTGTAATTGTATTTTGTTAGGAAGTGAATAAGGTTAATTTAACATATCCTTCAACCACCCGACGGATGATTAAGCTTGCAAGTTTAGAAATAAGTATTAATTATCAATATCGCACAACTATTAAGATTATGAATTTATTATGTACAGTACTAGACAATTTTAACTCAATTCCCACAAGAATTCAGTCTTGCATATCAATATCACTCATATTCAGCTCTGGATCTCAGGTTTGGAGCAACTGACAATAACTCAGACAACACATTTCTGTCAATATCAATATAGATTTCTTCCAGCATCAATTTTTCATTGTTTTCTTTAAAATAACTGACCATTTCAGAAAAAGCAATGGATGACAACTGACAATCTGTCATATCAAGCACACGAAGTTTTGGAGCCTTAGAGAGTAGTTCAATTAACATTTCTCCCTTCATATCACTAAAATCATTATTTTGGAGATACAGACTCTCTAATGCCAATATGTCACAAATGCTTAATGTGTCTTTAATACTACTACCTGATAAACTACAATTTCGCAAGTGAAGAGATTCTGTCTTAGGTGCAATTTTTAACAGATTTCCTAAAGTTGCTCCTGCAATACTCTGAAACTGACTGGATTCAAAATCAAATTCACGAATTTCTAGCATGATGTTCTCATTTACACATTGAGCAATTAAAGCGTTCAATTGTTTTACAGTGGATATACATTCAAATAAATCAAACTCAGCTTTGAATTTAAGTAATGCATAAATAGTTGCATCATCAATGTCATGGAGATTATTGCCCAAAAGATTAAGACTTAAGCCTTCCAGACTCACATCCAATGTATCACGACATTCATACAGCATATTTCTAATGATGGTTCCTTTAAGCTGGCATTCTGCCATATCAAGGTGTTTTATGTTGGGAAATTTCCTTCTTATTCGAAAAAGTAATAATTTAGCAATATCACTCAGATTGTTAATCGAAATATCAAGATACCGTAATTTACAATGTATTGGACAATTCACGATCATGTTATTTACAATTGTACCCACAAGATTACAGTCCCCCATACTAAGTTCTTGAAGGTCTGGGGCAATTGACAATAAATCAGATAATGTATGTCCACTAATATCATTTAGATTATTCTTGCTGATTTTCAATTCTGTCAAGGCCAGAATGTTTTTTTTTTTTTTTAAGTCACTAACCATGTCATTTATAACAGCAGATGATAATTGACAATTTTTCATATTAAGCATCAAAAGTTTTGGAGCCTTAGTGAGTAGATCAATTAAAATTTCTCCCTTCATATCATGGAAATTATTATTTTCGAGGTACAGCATCTCTAATGCCAATATGTCACAAATGCTTAATATGTCTTTAATACTACCACCTGATAAACTACAATTTTCCAAGTGAAGAGAATCTACTTTAGGTGCAATTTTCAACAGATTTCCTAAAGTTGCTCCTCCTGCAATACTCTGAATCTGACTGGATCTAATATCAAGTTCATTAAATTCTAACATGATGTTCTCATTTACACATTGAGCAATTAATGCGTCCAATTGTTTTACAGTGGATATACATTTAAATAAATCAAACTCAGCTTTGAATTTAAGTAATGCATAAATAGTTGCATCATCAATGTCATCAAGAATATTGTCATAAATTTTAAGCCACCCCCCTTCCCGACTCACATCCAATGTATCACGACATTCATACAGCATATTTCTAATGATGGTTCCTTTAAGCTGGCAATTTGCCATATCAAGGTGTTTTATGTTGGGAAATTTCCTTCTTATTCGAAAAAGTAATAATTTAGCAATATCACTCAGATTGTTAAACGAAATATCAAGACTCTGTAATTTATTATGTATTGGACAATTCACGATCATGTTATTTACAATTGTACTCACAAGATTACATCCCTGCATACTAATTTCTTGAAGGTCTGGGGCAATTGACAATAAATCAGATAATGTATGTCCATTAATATCATTTAGATCATTCTCCTGAAGATAAAACTGTTGCAACACCAGCATTTTACCACTTTCTTTAAAATGAATGACCATTTCAGAAAGAGCAATGGATGACAACTGACAATCTGTCATATTAAGCACAAGATGTGTATAAGAGACAGCTCTAATGCCAATATGTCACAAATGCTTAATGTGTCTTTAATACTACTACCTGATAAACTACAATTTTGCAAGTGAAGATATTCTATCTTAGGTGCAATTTTCAACAGATTTCCTAAAGTTGCTCCTGCAATACTCTGGGGGGGGGGGGGGGGGGGGGCAGCATAGACAAATATATTTTACTCAAAAAATTCAAACTTTGACTTCCCATTAAAAGTGGCTGTGAGTAAGTTCACCGGAACAGGGAGGGTATGATAAGGTGACGGTCACATTCCAGCGCATGGACAGGAAGAGAGGTTGGTAGGAACTAACATAAATTACACTATAGGGAGGTCTTTGTGCATCTGTCAAACAGGTTGTCACTAATGTTAATGATGGACATACATTATAATACAATGGTCAACTGTTGGACTTTATCATGGATAGTTATGGTATGCTAAACTACTATATATATATATATATATATATATATATATATATATAATTATGTTGTAATTGTATTTTGTTAAAAGGAAGTAAATAAGGTTAATTTGACATATCCTTCAACCACCCAACGGATGATTAAGCTTGCAAGTTTAGAAATAAGTGATAATTATCAATATCGCACAACTATTAAGATTATGAATTTATTATGTACAGTACTAGACAATTTTAACTCAATTCCCACAAGAATTCAGTCTTGCATATCAATATCACTCATATTCAGCTCTGGATCTCAGGTTTGGAGCAACTGACAATAACTCAGACAACACATTTCTGTCAATATCAATATCGATTTCTTCCAGCATCAATTTTTTATCATTTTCTTTAAAATAACTGATCATTTCAGAAACAGCAATGGATGACAACTGACAACCTGTCATATCAAGCACACAAAGTTTTGGAGCCTTAGTGAATAAATCAATTAACGTTTCTCCCTCCATATTATGGAGATGATTATTTGCCAGATACAGCTCTTCTAATTCCAATATGTTGCAATTGCTGAACATCTCTTTAATACTATCACCTGATAAACTACAACTTGACAATGTCAAACATTTTAGCTTAGGTGCAATTTTCAACACATTTCCTAACATTGCTCCTGATATACATCTAAGCTGACTGATTCTTCTATTGCTAAGTTGAGTACATTCTAGCACAATGTTCTCCTTGACACATTTATCAACAACAGCATCCAATTGATCTACAGTGGATATACAATCAAACAAATCAAACAAAGCTTTTACTTTAAGTAGCGCATAAATAGTTGCATCACCAATGTCATGGAGATCATTGCACTGGAGATCAAGCCTACTCCATTCCCAACTCACATCCGATGTGTCACGATATTCATTCATCATATCCCTAACGACGGTTTCTTTAAGCTGGCAAGATCCCATATTAAGGTAGACTAAGTTTGGACATTTCCTTCTAATTTGAACAAGTGATAATTTATTAATGTCACTCAGATTGTTATTATCAACATCAAGACGATGTAATTTATTATGTAATGGACAATTCTCGAACATGTTGTTTACAATTGTACCCACAAGGTTACAGGAATTCAGATTAAGTTCTTTAAGGTTTGGAGCAATTGACAATAGATCAGATAATGTATGCCCATCAATATCATTTAGATCATTCCCACTGATGAGAAATTCTGTCAAGGCCAAACTTCTATGATTTTTTTTTAAATCACTGACCATGTCATTTATAACAACAGATGATAATTCACAATTTGTCACATCAAGTATATCTAGTTCTGGAGCATTAACTAGTAGAGTACTTAACAGTGTTCCTTCTATGTCATCAAATATGTTGTCTTTCAGTTCAAAAATCTCTAATGGTACAGTTGACATATTCAGACTGCGGACCATTTTTGCTAATTCTGTACCTGATAAACTACATTCTTCCATTTTCAGAGAAAACAGATTTGGCACATTATTCAAGAATCCTTCAATATCAGTAAGGTTATTCCTTGAAAGATCAAGAATGACAAGGTTACTGTAACACTTACTGAATACACTGTTAATAAACGTACCTGATAACGAGCAATTATCCAAGTTCAAGTATAAATTTTTTGGTACAAAATTTAGTAAATGAACTATTAAGAACCTACTCTTGATATAATTATTGTTAAAGTTAAATTCTAACTTATCATCATAAACTAAATTCAGATTTCCAAAATCAGTAGAAATATTCTCAAAAAAAGTATCACTACCAAATAAAAAAGCTTTTGTTGCGGTGATACATCTTTGATCTTTGGCAGCAAACATCAAGTGACTTAACAATTTATGCACTGGATTTTCTACTGATGATTTAGCATTAATCCATCCATCTACCGACTTTGTAAATACGCTTGAACCCAATTTCTTTTCCAGCAAGAGTACTTCTCTTACGTGTTGAATCAAAGAGTAATTATTATTGATTTTAATATCAGGATTACAATGAAGCACAAACATTCTGAGGCTATTGCAAATACTTGGAAATTGTTGCCTAATTGCAAGGTCCTTTTCAGATATGCAAGTATCCAGATTTTGTACTACAGTCGGTTGCTGCTCTATTTCTAAACTCATTAAGTATTTCATAAGGGAACGATAATCCATGGCATCATTTGTGATCCAATGTTGCAACAATTTATCAGCATGAGCACCAAGAAAGCTAATGGCAAAGATGCGTGTCATATGCAAATATTTATTAGTACTTATTGTATCCCATTCTTCAGATAAGAAACTGGCGCATTTTTGACATTGCCAACAAATGTAGAGTCCCGCCAATGATTCAGCTATCAATTTATGAGGAGCTGTATAAACATCTGAAAAGTCTTGCGCACCTTTTGGTAGCTCTTTATAAAGTATTCCAATTGCTAGTGCAAAGCAGTTTTCGTCTTCATTCGAATTGTATTTACTTAAGTCATCAAACTCTATTGAAAGCTTGTTTTCTTTTAAGCTTTCATACATACATTTTCCAAGAATGGAAAAACACTTTTCATACTTTTCATACTTTTTATACTGTCGAATTTTGGCAAAATTAGAAAGCTTTCTTACATGGTTTTTTTTGTTGTATTGATTTAAAATGCAATAAAACAATTCCTCAAATAGGCTGGCAAGATTTTGTGGAAGGCATTTCTTTTCCTTCCATATTGTACATATTGAGAGCAGTAGCATTGGTGAACGACACAAGTCATATAATTGACTATAGTTATCATCATCATCATCTTTTTCATATTTATACAAATATGTTCTCAGTGATTTGCCAGAATCAGGGTCACGAATAAAGAAATTGTCAATGAATTGTTTTATGCTGTTTGAGTTAAATCCTAAAACCTTCACATAAACATTACACTTGTTAGCAAAGTCAGAAATATTTCCAGGGCGAGATGTTAGAAGCACTTTGCTGAAGTTCTGATTTTCGAATATATTAATTGGCCGTGTAGCTTCAGAATTCAATTCATCCAATCCATCTAACAACAGAACAATCTCATTATCATGGTTTGTTATAAAACTACCCAACTCAGCACTTGTTATTTCCATTTTTTTTCTGCGTTTGAAGTTTTCCACATGAATTCTGCTAATAACATTTATAACATCTTCATTTGGTTTTATATCCCTAATATTAATAAGAAACACAATTTCCCTCAAAAAAGTATTGTCTTTCTTATTTGCCCATCGGTAAGATATATATCTAAGAAGGGTGGTTTTCCCCATCCCTCCCTCTCCTTCAATCAATACTTTACATGAATCTTTTGAACTGATAAGATTCAGGATCTCTTCCAATGATGCTGACACTGCATCCACTCTTTTACCTCTACCATCTCTCTTAACCAGTTCCAGGTCAGTAAACAAACCATCAATATCTATTGTATCGTCAATGTACGTTGGAGGACAGTAGTAATTTTTTTCTTTGAGAAACTTTTTCTGCTCTTCTAAAAAATATTCTCTGATGACTGAGTCTATAAAAGACAAAACATGATATAATGTAAATCAAATATTGATTTTACATACAGTATTGAAAAGTACTAATAATGTTATATTAGCAACATGTATAATAAATTAAAATCTAGTACTTAAGATTGAATAATATGAATATTAAATATCATAATATATTATTCACAAGGGGTTATATAAAATAAGCTTTATATTTTCCTGTGGCATAGAGCTGCATACTAAAAACAAACATCTAGATAATAAATAGTCAATAGGTGATCCAAAAAAGTATATAAATGAAGACTTAGCTACCTTTAATATTTGTAATACAAAGAAATACAACAATGTATATACAGTAAATACACAATAGCAAAATATGAGATAATAAGGTGGTTGACATATTAAGTCTGAATGCAATATAGGCAACCAACTTTCCCTCAGTTATTAAATATTCAAAAATGTGTATCTCATTATTCCGTACCCGAGTTTGTTGTGTCAGACAAAAATCAGTTTTACAACATATAAAAATAATATATTCATTTCATTAAAGAGATAAAAATGCAGTGTAAACATTATGATAAAGTACTATTTGGTTGTTTTTTGCATTCAGTGCTTGGCCAATGTGCTTTGAGCTTTTTACACACAAGATGTAGGGAAAAGAAATTGTATGGAAATGATAATGATGTAATGATCAACTTATAAGGTAATTATGATTATTATTATAATTTATGTAATTCTATTTTTATAATATTAAATAATAATAATTATTATTATTTTTATAATTTATTACTATTATTATTATTAATATTATTATTATTATTATTATTAATTATAGGTGTTATTTTTGCCCTATTTGATGTGGAAATGTATTGTATACTCAGTACATGTGAAAACAATTGTGAAAAAAATCGCAAGATGTTCTCGGACCCACGATCTCCAGATCACTAGTCACTTCATTTTATATGAATCAAAGATAACAATTTGAAGTTAGTATATTTTGATAAGTATGCCTATGCCTAATCAGGATTACATATAGAGAATACAAATTACACACCTTTATCTATCCTTTGTCGTTTTGGTTGTTTAGATAGTCCTGATTTACCTGTAAAGAAAGTAAACATTCAGGCGCTCATTTCATTTATTTATTTGACTACTGTAATGCAATTTACAAGGTACAATACAACAAATTTTGGACAGGGGAAGCTTAAGCTGAGTTTTACTATAACTCATTGAGAGTCAGCTGCCCCCAAAACAGTAGAAGCCCTTTCAACAGTACGTAATAGTTATTTCTAGACAATTGCAGTTTAAAAACAATTAATTAAAAAAAAATATAAGACATTGTCATGTCTTAAATAAATAAAGAACTCATTCAAGTCATTTTCATATGTACCAACAAAAAATCAGTAATCTTTTAGAATCTAACATTATGCTGTTGATATCAGTGGTCTTTATCTTACTATTAAACTTAAATCTTACGTTTTCGTGATGTTCTACGAAACTGCAATGATGAACTTGCATTGTCTGTGAAAAAAAATAAAATCAAACCATTTTGCATTAATATATAATTTGACACACTACTGTAGGTCTAAAGACTTATTTCCTGGTGGTCTCCTGGTGGAGTCTTCCTGGTGGTGACAGAGTGTACTGCGTTTTTCAACATGCACACAGTACATACACACAGAATCAGCATCTTAATCGTCTCTTCTGAAAGACGGTACACTTTTTATACTTACATTTTATCCCCCTCCCATAATCCAACACAGGAGAGCAGCAGATTGACTTGAACCTGGTACCAAAGGTTAATCCCCAGGAAATAATGGCTCTTTCAGTTTCTACTTTGTAATAGCGCCCTCTAAAATCTGCACCCAGTACTCACCTTCGCCCAACTTTAATTTTTTTGATGTTGATGCTTCTCCATTACCTGTAAAGAAAATGGAAATTGAAAATTTTAACATTAGTACAAAAGCACAGACTACAAGATTTTATTACATACAGAATTTATAAATTATCTGAAACTTTAATTTTCTTTTATGAATGATAGCTAACAATTTGATGTTATTAAATTGTATTTTGATGATTTATGTAATATTAAATTTTAATGACCATATCCCAGAAGTTTTGTTTAAATAAAAATAAAATCTTTATAGTGATTGGGTAGTTGAGATTTCTTTTAAAGATGACACAGATTGCAAATCTGGATGGTTAGTTAACAGTTTGATTGTTTTAGGTAAAGTGATACTGAGTGTGATAGTCTTTCTAAGTCAAACTATCAGTGATACCTGAAAAATTTCATTCCTACTGTAACTTTAAGCAAAGAGTATAGATTAGCAAAAGGTCCAACTTCCTGGGGTTCTTTGAAATGGAATCCTACCTTGAAAAGTACTACCACTAACTGGAGGGTGCACTTCAAAAGAACGTAAAGGTCATTTGCATTGAACACATGCTTGAATTTCGAACTCTACACAAGTTCTACCTCATGGTAGTAATTTTTTGTATTCATAGCGTTCATGCAAAATCAGGACAGTCTGACCTCTTGCTATTACCTGTATACACTCTTTGCTTCAAGGTTCTGCAATAATTAGATGAGCTTAAGAAGACCTGATACAACTATTAATCTAAGGGTACAGTATGTTCACACATACACCATAAGATTGGGGTAGCTTACACCGGCATAAGCTAATCCATGGATTAAAATTCAAAAGTGTTCACACAAACAGGGTTTGCTATATTAACGCTGGTGTTAAACTAGTAGTAATATAGGCATATGGGGGAATATTTTTCAGTTTTAAATAATGTACGGGTTCTTAACTGTAGTAAAATATTTATAGCGCATCATTAACATTTTTAAATCTGTGAATTGTTCGAAGTGAACTTATATGATTATGTAGTTTAAATAAACAATTTTATTTCTGATATTTCAGCTAGCATTGTGGAACAATTGTTGGTGTTGCAGGTTTTAATAGACAGTCTATATAGGTTAAAATATCTTACAAAACACAATTAACAAATCACATACTTTGAAAACTAAGTAAAATGCAATACTGTAGAAAAAGAACCCCTTTACCATTTCATTTATAGAGAGCACAGGAAAGAGATCAAAGTAACTATATAACATGACCAATGGATGTCACCCGCCACTACCATTGAAATTTCGATGAGAGTTTAACCATATTGCATAAATGCTATGACACCATTGTTCAAGGAGATACCGTACTCGCGCGAATAAGCGCCCGGGCGCTTAAAATATTTTTTTGCACTTTTTGAGGGGCGCTTATTCAAACGGGACACTTATCAAAACAGAGTGAAAATTGAGGGGGCGCTTATGGAAATAGATGAAAATCGAGGGGTTCTTATGAGAACTTATTAAGTTCAAGAGGCATATTTTGAATGAAAAACGATTATAAGGATATCAGGAAACCGCAAATTACGAATGGTGGTGCGGCGGAAACTTTCGTCCAAAGAGCATGGCTTGTCATGACAAGAAAGTTGTGAGTACATGTATTACATAACAGCAGAATAGCAGATGAAATTAGTGGTGGTGGTTAGCTTGTTGGCCATCGGCTTATTGAGATCAGCAGGATGGCATGATCATTGCATGTTTTCTTAAAAACTCAGACGAGAATGTGTTAGGTGTAAATTGTCGGAAAAGCAGTAGGACTAGGCTATAGAAAAATGCTAGCTAAGATGAAAGTTGGAAATATATTGTCTGTCCAGGGAACTCTCATCTGTCTAAGATAAATATCCTCATTTTGATATTGAAAGGAGAATGTGATTCCACTCCACACCTCACATCATGCCAACATCCACACAGTCCAGGATCGATTGAGTTATTGAGGGGGGCGTTTATTCAAATTAGAAGGGGGCGCTTATTCAAACGGGGCACTTAAGGAAATTTTCACGTTAGAAGGGGCGTTTATTCGAGAGGGGCGCTTATTCAAATGGGGCGCTTATTCGCGCGAGTACGGTATATATGAAATTCTAAACGCTGACAGAATGTTATTTCTTCTCACTTCATGAAGACTAAAGATTCAAGTATTTTTGATCCATAAAATACAAATTGGGTCATTCCATGCCAATTCAACGTGGCCGCGGAAGTCACCGTCTCAGATTTTGTTTAAATTTTCAGGGTTTGTTGTAACTTCAGTAACTAAGAAAAATCTAAAATTTCAGCTCAATCGGACCAATACTTTTCGAGATTCCGGTGTCCGAAAAAGTGGGCGTGGCACCCATTAGAGCCGCCGACGACGTTGTTATTTGGATTCTTTGATATTTGAAGTGTCATAACTTTTTTTCTAGGTCACCTACAAAGCTAAAAATCACAGTACTTGCTCAACTTTTTGAGTAGATGCAGATTCTGCATTCAAATAATTAATTAGAAAAACACTTTTCGAATTATGCTCTATTAAACATGGCTTCAGAATGAACGCGACAGAGCTTTCAGCTATTTTTGCTCACTCGTATCTCAAAAACTAGAACGTCTAACCCAAAACTGTTTTTGATTTCTTATACCCTACTAAATTCTGTGTAAATAAAGTAAATATGGACATAACCCAACTTGAAAATTCAGCATAATCAAGTTTAATATATGTTACAATTATAATATTAAAAACATTATTGTATATTTACTGTCTTCTTGAAATATTTTACAGGTCAAAATTACACATAATCGCTGCCGACGTTGTCGTTATTTGGATTCTTTGATTTTTGAAATGTCATAACCTTGTTTCTAAGTAACCTACAAAGCTAAAAATCACAGTACTTGCTCAACTTTGTGAGTAGATTCGGATTCTGCATTCCAAAAATTACTTTAAAATATATTTTTTGAATTATGCTCTATCAAACATGGCTTGAAAATGAACGCGACAGAGCTTTCAGCAATTTTTGTTCGCCCATATCTCAAAAACTAGAAGGGCTAACCCAAAACTTTTTTTGATTTCTAATACCCTACTAACTTCTGTGTAAGTAAAGTAAATATGGACATAACCCAAGCATGAATACTACCAAATATATGCCTCCCATTATGGTCCAGTCAGAAATTCGACAAATAAGGGTAGTCACGTTTGGTGGTAGAACCCAATGTGGATTTTGAAATATCAACTTGAAAATTAAGCATAATCAAGTTTAATATAATTATGTTACAATCATCATTAAAAACATTATTGTATATTTGTGTTTATAAGATCTTTGGTAACTATTTAATATTCAGCACCCACTCACCTTCATTTAACTTTTGTTTTTTTGATGTTGATGCTTCTTCATTATCTGTAAAGAAAATGGAAATTTAAAATTTTAACATAAGTACAAGCACAGATTGCAAGATTTTATTACGTACATGATTTATAAATCATCTAACTTTAATTTTCTTTTATGAATGATACTATAGATAACAATCTGATGTTATTAAATTGTATAATAATACTGATGATTATAAGTTAGTAAATTTTAATGACCACCTCCCAGAAGTTGGAGGAGCCAAAATAATTTGGGGAGATTGGGTTTAGCTGAAATGCGGTGTTTGTTGTAACACTGACATTTTCTTATTCATTCATTTTTTATTTCAGACACAACAGCTATTATTCATTATTATTATTATTATTATTATTAAATTATTATTATTATTATTATTATATAATATTATTATTATTATTAAATATTATTATTATTATTATTATTATCATTATTATTATTATCTTTATTATTATTATCATCATTATTGCTATCATCATTTATACATTATATTGTAATCATCATTTCTTACTAGGTTACTAAAATAAGTGTAAAAGCTATCATGTACTTTGTAGCAAAGCTAAATTGTAGTACAGGTTTAAATACAAGCAAAAATAAAAAATACAAAGGGGAACATCCAACAAACATCACAAAAGAAACAAGATGACACAGCAAAAATCTCATAATATATTTAGCCTTTATTTAGTAGCTTTGTACTTTGAGACATACGTAAAATAAATTTGTTAGTTCACTACCCAATGCTAGGTATTAATCATTACCATCCACCACGCTGACTACAGTACAGAACTAGTGACAAAAAAAACTGTTAATTTGGGGGAGGTACTGTATTTTTTTAATTTTTTTTAATTTCTAAGTAAATGTTTCGTAATTAAAAATGTTGCAGTCTATCTAATGATGTTCATAGTTTGAATAGTTTATGTGTATTTTATGCTCTAGTACAAAGCTACAAAAAAGCGAACTATATGATTACTAAATGCTCTGTTTTGCGAAGCATGCTTGCAAGCACCACAAGCACAAAAGTGCTTGTGGGACTTGTTGGAACTTTACTGCCCAAAATAATACTTTATGGTATAAAATATAGGCCAGTAACCAGGCAAATTCCCCTTCTCTAACCAACCCACTTTCATTTCTGGCAACCATCAAGACCCCTTGAATATCCCTATAGTCCTCCAACCCATCTAATGCATTGCAGACCCACCTAGACTCAGACGAAATGAATTTGCTGTGGAAATTTTTTGAACATACAGTAACTGCTTTTTTATACACTTTTTAGACACATAAAACACATTTATTACTGTATGCATGACCTACCTGTAGTTAGTTCTTAAAGTTTGTTATTTAAATGTTTTACTACAGTATTCCAACGCTATGTTTCAACTAACCCCATGCCATGTTTCAACTAACCCATAGGTTGGGTAAGTCGGAACGCAAGGCGGAGGGGTGTTCCCATGTCAATTATACTAGCAATCATCAACAATTAATTGAAACATTTTTTTGGCTGATATGGCACATGTACAGTATACCTGTTTCTACTACTGTATTTATCATTTCTTCAATAAAGAGTTACAGAATCATATGGACATTTTTGTAAATTTTGTTCCAATTCTAACCCCATTCTCCCCTACAGTACAAATTGCAAGTATGGCGATTCCCGTAGTTAACAGGTTGATATATCTTTTAGGTAATGTGATACTGACAGTGCAAATTCTTTGTAAGTTAAATCAGTGTATTTGAAAAAATTCATTGCTACTTCAAGCAAAGGGTATACTGTAGAGTACAAAAAAGTCCGACTGCCGGGGTTTCTTTGAAATGGAATCCTATCTTGTAAAGTACTACCACTAACTAGAGGGCACCCATCAAAAAGAACATAAAGGTCATTCGTATCAAACACAAGCTCGAATTTTGAACACTATTCAAATTCTACCTCATTGTACTTTTTTCTTGTTTCTTAGTGTGCATGCAAAATCAGGGCAGTCAGACCTCTTGCTATTCTACACTCTTTGCTTCAAGGTTTTGCTATGAGTTTAGACCTGAGACAACTACTGTAGTAATCTTGACGGTTTGATATTATTTATCCATTTACCATATTGCAGAAATGTCAAAGAAAGTATTAAAACTAGACCACTAATGAAACCTTAAAGGCGAGCTAAAACACTAAAATTAATGAGTGAGTATTATTTAAATAGATTAGCATGTGAAAAAAAATTTATATTGCAAGGCAACTCAAATTATTGTTTAAGCATTATACTCACCAGAACTTTTCACATTCATTAGAAATGATGACCACTTGTCTTCTGAAATAATATCCTTATTTTCAAGATATGTAATTACTTTCCATGGATTTGTAGAGATGTTGACTGGAATTTCGTACCTCTGTCGAACATTCTGGAGAACTTCACATAAAACATTTTTTCCCCAAGCAACAACATGCTGACGATATGCTGAAAACAGTGTGATCTCGACTTTATCAGGATACTTCCGATACTTCTCAATAATCTCCTTTAAAAATCTCAATCCAGTTAGTTCAATGGTTTGAAACAAAACTGAAATGTCTGTTGATTTCAAAACGCCTGCTACTATTAGTGTTTGGAATAAATCAAAAGCGGATTTAGCTCTCACCAATTCTTCTTTGAATTCTGCTGTATCACTGTACAGAACCCGTAACATATCTACATACTTTTTATCTTTCTTGCTGATTGCATTAGACATTTCCCCAAGCAGTTGATTAAAATCTAATAACAAAAAATTAGTCAAATTTATAAATGGTCTAAAATTGTAAACTCTTTCAATAACTATTTATACTTAGGTACTTTCAAATGATGTGTTTGATAAATTACAATTAAAAATACTGTAAATGCTCAAATACTGTAAGCGCCGCGGCGCTTATAAAACTTTTGCAAGCTTCAGTGGGGCGCTTATCAAAAATATTGGTGTCGCTTTCCATGCCCGTATTCCCATAGTTCAGTAGGCCTGTCATAGGTCCTAGAACTACGTCATCGAACAAACACAGAAACGCTTGCGTCTTCATTGTGCTATTTATTCATTTTAACAAGCTGATTAGGCGCTACGGTGCTTTACGAAATAAAATCAGGTTTGGTGGGGTGCTTATTCGAGAGCAGTTCTTATTCGAGCACTTATGTTAATCAATGGCAGCGGAAGCGGGGGCCATTGTCCCCCCTACTTTTTCTACAGGGGGTCCTCGCCCCCGCTTTTGTGACCGTTCCCAGCACCAGTCACAAACATTTTATGATGCTGCAATGTCATTATTATTATTATTATCATTATTATTATTTTATTATTATTATTATTATTATTATTATAATTATTATTATTATTATTATTATTATTATTTGGTGCTTAGAGACCTTGTTTATTTGCGCCTCGTAAGTTGACCTCACACTGATTTTTTTTTATGTCTGTATACGTGCCTCGTGTGAATTCTGTATTTAGGCATATGGAGGAAGCCTTCTTTATGGAGGCCCTCTTGTCGGTATAAAAATACAATAGATTAGTTGGAGGCATATCAAATTGAAGACCTTTTTAAAATTTACCTGTTAAACATTTAAAGTTTTGTGTTGCTTCATAGGATTAGTAACACAACTAGAGGAAGGGATTCTCAGCATTTCAACCTTTACCAAACCTTCTGACTTGCATTCTCATTATACCCATTTTTCTTCAACTAATGTTTATTATTATTGTTATTATTATTATTATTATTATATTATTATTATTATTATTTTTATATAATTTTTTATATATTTTTTATGTATATGTATATATATATATATATATTTTATGTTATGTTTGCATATTTATATCAATATTAGTTATTAGGCCAACTACGTAGTATGTGACTGATTATCTGGTGGTCATGCTTTTTATAACTTATTATGACTTCATTTCACACCAATATTTTACCTTATTTATTGATTACTGATGTCTATTACTGTATTTAAGATAATAACAACACCTTCTTTATTTTCCCATTATATTGTATAAATAATTTCATTTGTGTGAAAAATCCAATAAACAAACAAACAAACTGGGTCACCATCAGAGGATGACCAAACAAAGGTTTAAATCTGGAGAATTACAGCTCCTTACCTTTTACAGCTTATACAGTATTTAAATTTTACAGATCTACAATTGTAAAAAGTTAAAAGATTATTTAAATCTTGTATAGCTTATTGTCAATACTGTTCAGCAGACAGGCATCATTGGAAACTTTATATACTGTGCAGTAGGCCTATAGCAGGGGTGGGCATAAAATTGGTCGGAGGGCCAAAGTGAATTTTTGATTTAACACAGAGGGCCACACAAAAAATTTGAAGTTTCAGTGACCGTCTAAAAACATCCAAGCACTGCTTGTACACATCTTTATTCTCAGTTTTAATTTTTACTTTTTACATGGTCATTGTTGGGCCATATAAAACAAGATTTTTTCTAGCCAATGTTACTTGGCTGGCTGCACACATAGGATTTTTAATTCATTTTCGCATGCTGCAAAAAATTCGCTGTCGGGTCGCATGCGACTGGGCCGCACTTTGTCCACATGTGGCCTAAAGTATCCCTCAATACTTCATTTCCTACAAATATATTGTAAATGGTAATACCATACGTTTTTCTTTCCATATTATTACTAACCTTCATTTACTTTCTTTCTCAAACGTTGCATAAATGATGGTATGTTATCTTCTGTTAAAACTGAAGATGTATATTCAAGATGTTCAATTAATTTCCATGGATTAGAATCAAATTCGTCCTTGTATAGGTGACAAGCCTTCTGAAGATCTTCCAATAAAAATTTTTTTCCTAGAGCAACAATCTGTTGACGGTGTGCTGAAAATCGAGCAATCTCTACTTTATCTGGATATGCCTCATACTTCTCAATTATCTCCTTCAAATATCTCAATCCAGTTATTTGAATTGTTTCAAACAAAACTGAAATGTTTTCTGGCTTTAAAATGCCTCGTGCTTTTAGCACCTTGAATAAATCCAATGCAGATTTAGCTTCCTCTAAATCCGATCTATGATTTACAAGATCTCGGTACAGAACCTTCAACATGTCTACATACTTTTTATCTTTCTCACTGATTGCAGAAGAAATATCCAAAAGCAGTTGATTAAAATCTAATGTATGAAACAAAAGAAAATATTTTAAAAATGTGTATGTTTTATGTTAATTGTAACTAAAATTAAACAATATCTTTTGGGCTTATTAATTTGTAAAAAAGAATGATGATTAAAGGAGTCACAGAATCTCAAAATAAATAAAATCAACCCAAATAAAATGTTATTATATGGAAAAATATTGTATTTATTTAGTTTCATAATTTGATGTGTATTAATGTGGAAATCTGAAAGACTAGAAAATGAGTGGATACCATGTTTAAAATCAAATCATTGAATATGTCTAACTCTTTCTTACAAAGAGGACAATTTTTAAATTCTATATTATTCAAAGAAAAAGGACCTTGGCGGTTTACAAAAATTTGAATTGAGATACAGTATTACATCAATAATATAAATGGTTAATTTTGTGAAGACGATGACAAAACTGTTACATTACAACTGTTTCATTATTTTTACCTGATTCCTTCATTCTGCTCGATTGCTGTACTTCTCACACCAATCCTAAATACTTAAGCTCAAACTGACGAGTTTCACAAATCTTCAAGCTAAAACTGATTCATATAAAAATTCAGATAAAATATAATAGTTATTTTTGTCAAAAAATTAGTGTGTATTTGTGTTTAAACAGTATAATAAATTCAATAGTTAAAAAAAAATTAGAACAATGTGAAGATGAATAATTATTAAAACAACAGCGACGAATACCACCACAATTACAAGTTTTATAAACAATAAAATATAAATACTATATATAAAATGTAATGCATACTTGAGAATGCATCAGCGTACAGTACAGACCTGTGCTTAATTACACACTGTGAGGAAAAAAAACTTGATCTTCAGAGGTCATGGATAAATTTCCCAAACATGATTTTGAAAATCACTGTGGTTCAGTATGTTATATCAGAGATGGTGCTATTAAACTGTACCATTATCCATTTGCAATACCTTATTACAATTACAGTATCTTATGGCAAAAATGAAAAGTGGGGCCACCACCAGGCTGTTCAGTCTATTATTCTGGGCACACACTCTGCCCAACGGCTGTCGCAATGGAGAATGCAACACGAGAATGTGCACACAACAAATCGTTATTTAATGACGATCCATTCAGACTGCCACCGATAATCCAATGATGTAAGTACACGATTTTACCTATGCTATACAGTACAAAAAAAGTAAGGTAGCATAAGTCACAATACAGAGGGTTTTCCGTGAGTCTTGGGATGACAGGTCCTGCCATCATTAATTGTCTCCCATAAGTCACGTGATGAGTATCACTACTCACAGAAAAATAAAATTAGATGTGTGGAGAGAACCTCTTGGAAGTACCTTCTTTAAAAATTATTTCCCTGACAAATAAACCAGAGCGTACAATCACTTTTCTTCATTTTTCCAGGCAATATATTGCCTTCAAAATACTTATTTTTAAAGCATTGCTCCCCCTATATTCAAGTCAAAGCAACATTCATTTTCTTCAAATTTAAATACAATACAATTTAGAGCAAGTTATAAAATACTGAAGGAGGCATAACTAAAAAAGCAAAAGCTTGTGATAGTATATGCCTAGACAAGATGACAAGAAAAATAACATAAATAAATAAATAAATAAAAAATAAATAAATAAGTTAATAAAAAGCACTTTAAAAAGTTAAAAAAGGTACTTAAATTTAATTACGCGAAACGTCATCTGACACTAGTACGAGTTAAACAAGATATCCAGTAGGTAGATATAAACTATTTTAAAGTTTTAACTGAAAAGGTTTTCATGCTGGAGACAGATTTTTTTATAACGGTAAATTTATTCCAAAGTTTGTGTCCACTAAATCTGATATTATATTGAAAAGATATTTTTTTTTTTGCTGGGGAATATCATGTCATCATACAAGTACTATAATTGTGGAAAGATGAGTTAAGTTGAAAAGAATTAGAAAATTATTTGATAATTATTGACCTTTTTTAAATTTTAGTACAGATTTAATGAGTAAAATAATGGGTCAGTATGAGCTTGCGATGGTGCACCAGATATTATTCAAACAGCTTTCTTTTGTTTAGTACTAACTTAGCTGTGTTTGATTCAGAGGTGTTGTACCAAACCACATTGCAAAAATTTAAGTAGGGGAGGATAAGTGTACAATACAATGTACAAAGAATTTCGAGAGAGAAAAAAGATACATACACTGTCATATTTGTTATATTTGCTGCGAGACCTAATAAATCTACACATAGGATAAACATCTTCTTTTTGTTGATTTAGTTATTATTTTCAGGTCACGAAAGGGTAACCTCTTTATTGTACCCAATGTAATTATCAATCCTGTTTCTCCAGCTTCCGATCTCCTTTAATTTTCCCCCGTAGTTTAATTGTTTAATCTTGCTGCTTTGGTGTTAAATCGGGATGGATATTTTAATTAATTTAGGAATTTTACTCATCTTAAGGGTTTGACCTTTCTAAAGGATTGAAATCATATTTTGGTAAAATCAATTTTATTAATTGTGGCTGGTATTCTTTCTTAATAATTTTACCTATCCTAAATAATTTACTATCATCTGCTTTAACATCTACAATTAAGAAATCTAACAGGTCCTGGGTAG